TTTTTCTCAACAACGTCAATTCGATAAACATATAAAGAAATTAAGAGCTTATTTATTATCTATCTTGGGTCTGTTCAGATGACTGCGGTTGTTGAGATCTGATACCTTAGGAAAATTGTGATAGATGTGAACTTTTCCTGACAAAACGCATTTTGGCGTTGTTGCACTATATGATTTAAGGCACGGGGCAGAACTACAGAGGGGTGACGACAGTAATGCACCATGTGTGTGACTACTTCGCTATGTGAGATGGGAGTCCGTTCGAAAAAAAGTGATTCGGGGTTTATTGCTCGTCTAACCAGTGACGAATTTTCACCCAAATGAAGGAAGAAAAGAATTTGTTTGTTTGTTTGTTTGTTTGAGGGAGGATGTAAATGTCCCTCAGATGGAAGCCAGTTATGGTGTGTCTGGTCAGCCTGTATATAGGGTTATATAACATCGTGAGTGGACAAGTGAGAGTATGGAGAACGTCATCCACTTCTTATCTGCCAGATAATAGGCAGTCCACTTCCATAATAGTTTGGGGTGCATTGGTTTCTAAGGCATTGGGGAACTGAGATTGATGCATCGAAAACTGAACCACGAGCGTTACACTAAAATTTTAAACCAGCAACTTTTACCAGAAGAAAACATCTTAAAGGATCATCTGTTCATTTTCCATTTCCCTAGATTATAACGCTACACCCCACAGTACCAGGGCTGCACAAGTGTGCCTCTTCCAGCATTGCATCAAGGGGATGGACTGACCTGCCCAATCACAAAACGCAAACTTCATTGAAAAATTGTTGAATGAGACTGGATATCAAGTGGCAAAGGATCGCCCCTATGTAAGAAACACTCTAACCTTTAGTTTCTTAACAGTATGAGCCAACATAGCAAAGAAGATTAGTGAACCGATATCAGGCTATGCCCAGAAGGATGGTGGCCATATTGAGATCACGTGGAAATCCCACGCAATATTAATACTGACATAATAACCTGTGTTAGGCCCCTATTTTACACAGACCACGAATCCCACGAATCGCCAGGAATTGACAAATTTCAGGATTCGTGAGATTTTGCTAATTTTCTGGTCTAATTTGACACGCTCACGATTCAGTTACGATACAGGTACGATAGCGTTACGAATATTCATGGGATTCGGCTGGAATCGTGAGAATTTGCCAATTATCTGGTCTAATTCTACACGCTCTACGATTCAGTTAAGATACAGGTGCGATAGTGTTACGAATATTCGTGGGATTCGGCTGGAATCGCACGAATATTGTCCAGAAATCCAATACGATTTTTTGGAATCGGGAGTTCGTGGCCAAAACTTTGAACAGCTCCAAATTTTTACCAAGAATTCCCGATTGATCAAGAATTGCAAGAACTGATTACGATTATATACGAATCTGTTAAGAACTTCACGAACTGATTACGATTCAACCACGAATCCTGAAATTTTCAATTCCTGGCGATTCGTGGGATTCGTGGTCTGTGTGAAATAGGGGCATTATGTAAGGGCAAAATCACTGATTCATAAACCTTTGGTAAAGATACTAACTTGACATAACCAGTATTTAATAAAATACTAATTGAAAAACCTAGCAAACCCAGGTGTTGTTTACCTTTTGCAAAATGGTGCAATACTTTTGTCTGTAAATGTCACAATGTACAATAACACCCAAAATCAAGCAGTCAACCCAATAAGAAAATATGAAGCTAGAGTAGACGTTAAGTCATGCAGATAAATGCCTGTTGGAGATTCCACTTGACTCGGTCTACAGATATCAGAAGCACAAAGAAGTCGGAGGAACACTAATTTAGGTTGGTGGAAAAGAATATGACTTAATTGACATTATTGATTTCGCTGAAAAGCTGTCGATAACTGCAGTTTTATTAAAAGATTCCAGCAAATCACAAACACTTAGGTTAAGGGTAATTCAGGCTGACTTGGATTTGAAAAGATATCTAATATTAATATCCTATACATATTGTATAAATAATATCCACATACATGTACTTAATATAATGATAATGAATGAGTTGTGATCATTTTCTATGCTTTCATAACGTAGTAACGCGACGATCCTCACAAACTTGAGTTGCAAATTCAGGTTTTAAATACACTACTCCAAATAAGTAAACCGTATGAAAAATAACTTTTAAAAAGAATGTTGATTTTGGCGAGTGCCTTATGAATCATTAATACTACATGTGGGCTAAAAACACGCAAATGTCTGAACAAATGAAGAGAAAAAAAAAACAGTTTGCAGTGTACTAATGATGAAGGTGAACTTTAGGTAGTATTTGCGTGACAGTAAAATGAGACGTGCACTCAAAAGAAACATGCAATCAAAATGCATCCGTTAACTATTATAAAACACATCTTCAGCCACGATGAACAAGATGTTGTTCTCTTTCCTCACTTCACATCTCATGCTTCTACTTGCTCTCTCTCTCTCTCTCTCTCTCTCTCTCTTCAGTTCCCCTCGTTATCACTCTCCTCTTTCATATATATTGATAACCTCTGTAAACTCTCAGTTTCTCACAGTCCTCTTCTGGTTACGTATTTCATTGGGAGCATATATAATCTCTATCCTATGTGCTGACATTTCTTCAGGGGTTTTGTAATTTAGGTCTCCGTGGGCAAGATTGCAGTGGCAGATCTCTTTTTTATTGTGATCAACAAGGTATAGGTACAGGAAGTGAAAGGATAAGGATGAAGAGTAAGGGATTTTGGAGCCTATCCCAGCCCCTCCATAAACATGACGCATGAGATAAATAAATATAAAATGGTTAAGCATATAAAATCAAAGAAAATACTTCTGCCATCTGTCATTCACAAATAAGAATGGTCAAGACATCGTTGTTCCGAAAACTATATTAAAATACGTTAATCAATAAGATTACCACAAAGAAAGATATGGATCAAAACCTAATGATATTGCACCAGAGATAACTTTTAAGATGTTATTTTGAACTATGTGACTATGGGGTGGGATGGACCTGGGGATGGGGAGGATTATTTTGGGGACCCCATACAAACAAACTTTGATCTCGTTGAGACGTTCTCCTTTTTCATGCTATACATTCGAAAACAATATTGCAATCTGCATTACTTACAGAATACATACAAGGAAAATATTAACATAACGTCTCTTTTGTTCTTTGGACTTTAATAGGGATAAGGGGTGTCTGATACAGCCTCAACTGCAACTGAATACACTGCGTGATACGTTTTTAATAATAATAATGGCGAGAACCAGCTTCAGATTTTCTCTCGGAAACAATGATTAAAGGACTTTTTGCACTTTTTGCTCTGTTTCATGGTTAATTGGATTCTGCGGACTTTGGAGTCACTTCCAATCATGGATTAAATCCATTCTATTATTCAACTCAATATTGCACTGCGTAGATGTTTTTCAGGCTGAATTAATGACTCAAGTAGTCGAATTACACGATCACTTCTCAGATTAATGTTTGTCCTCTGTTATGTACATTGTAAATTGTACATTCCAATAATTAACCATAAAAGGTGGAGGGCTCTTGCACCAATGTAAAATTAGTTTACACCCCCAGAGTTTACAGCCCCACCCAAAAATTCCGAGCCGTTAACAAGACAAACATCTGCATGTTCTCATAAGTATCTTATACAGGAAAAATTTAACGACAAGGTTGTTTATAGGCCAGGGGTTTCTTCTAAGAGAGGGATACTAAGGCGATACGCAGATATGGTATACTAAGTACTGACAAAACAACAGACATGATGGGTAAAGGGATTTCTTCATAAGTCTGTCAGCTTTCATATGGTGCCGCACTCGCTTAGCCGTGGTGGATTACAATAATTACCAAGCAGGTTGCCGAGCCGCATTTTGCAACGATACGTATTTTGCAATTAGCAAAAATGCTGCTCTACAAGGTCTGCATTCGCAAAAACGTGATATCAGTTCAATTGAGCTAACGCGATCGATGTTCAACACTGTGTTTAACACTAGTGACTACGCAACAAACACTTTCACTATAGTCACATGTCCACCGTATACCCCAACCCCACACATGGACTTACTGTCGAATAAGGGTACTAATCGGTTGACTTATATATCGAAAAGTGTTTTCTGCAACTAGTCCATTGTATTCGACCAACTGATTAGTACACGTGTTCTCACAATCGGGACGAGATACGTTGGCTTAGGCTCCTGTACCAACAACACTATTTGTGTATACTTGGTTACCTGTAGTTGAAGCTTCCAAATGTCGGTTTACTTAAGATGAATTAGCGCTACAAAACTGTTTCAGATGCTTCCCTTTTATAATTATTTTAAAACTATATATTTATCATATTATTTAGTGTGGTTTGGTCTGCCTTATGTTTCATGATGGCACGAACTTTTGCGGAATAAAAATGTCCAGTGAGCAAGTGAAGCGATTAATATGATGCCTGTATATCCAGGATAAAATGATTATTGGAGAGATGAGACTTTAAGTTCACCAAATGACACATTATGGTTTAGGTTATAAAACGAGAGATAAGTGTTACACGAGGTAAAACGTGATGTGTATGGACACGAGTTGATCTAACAAACGTGTTCTTCAACGTGACATGTGTAGTGTCTAATCAGTATGTTTGGTCAGACCCTTATCAACTCTTTTAGAGCTGCAAGAGGTATTAAATACCTGTCTCACACAATATGTGATATTTTTTAAGTCAAGTCTTGAAGTTTTGAATAGAGGAAGTCAATCACTTATAGAACTTGATTTAAATAAATAATGTAAGAGCTTGAAATTACGGCCACCGTTCATTTCGGGTGACCTGGGGAGAGAAGCAAATAAAGGATGGGTCAGTATATAACTAGCCCCTTATCAGTATTACATACCAACTTTACATAAAATTTACGCAAGATTTCGGTAGGTCACGGTCAAACCTGTTGTATATAATGGGGCAGTTTCTTCCCACCAAGTGAGTTAATTTGGAGACGCATAAACGCTCTGTCCGAAAGTTCCGACAACACTCGAAGATGATGAAGCTCGCCTTTACCCTCATGGTGCTGGCTGTGGCCGGTGCCAGTGCTGCGCAACTGAAGGTTCAACAAGGGACCACTGAATCCAAATCCCCAGACTTTTGCAATGGACTTGATTGCCCAACATTCACCGTCCTGAAAACCACAAAGGTAGGCTGGGGTCTAATATGGCCAAACCTTTTTCTTTAATAGCCTGGAATACAGGAGATTTTTTATTTCTTTCTTATTTTCTTCCACATTTCACTGGTGTTTTAGGGTGCATTCCCAGAGATTTAGATCGATCCAGAGATTTAGATTCAGATCGACCTAACTCCCTTCGGAGTTCACGCTAAATTGCAGTCAGCCGAGCGCGCACCATAGTTAATTACCCCCTTACAGCTTTTAGTAGGCGAGACAGACGCTTAAGCCGGCTAAGCTGACAGTAATCTAGTGAGACTCCCCACAGGGATAGATCGATCTAAAATCTATGGGAATGGGGTCTTAGATAATCTATGTAATGTGGAAAAATAAGACCTCTCTACTGAGGGCAGAGAAAATCGTTGCTAAACAAGGTTACTTTTAGTTACTGCGCCTACTAAACTAGGTTTCGACAACGTCATTTGGTGGTTTGGAGGCTGTTAATTTTTGACACAATGTCATGTTGAGGTGTTTAATAAACCCCGATGTTCTTTAATTGTGTGTTTTCATCTTTTTCGTTGTCAATAATCTTTTTCTGAATTTCATGAATGTGATAATTGAAGGCCGATAACTTTGCCCCTTGTAAGTGTCGCGTTTCGTGCACCAATAACACCAATTATGAAAACATATTGCTTTGTTCGCCAGAAATTATACTGGCGGTCAAAACCAGGTAAAAAAATAATAAACTGCACATCCCTGCACTTCCCGATATTGCAAATGGTTTCGATGCCACTTCCTACCATCTCTGTAGAATTCGAAAATATAACCATATACGTATATGTTATTTGTCTCAAATTATGCATAAGTCATTCAGCGAGAGTTCCCACGGAGTTGGATCGATCAACGTAGACCGATAGTTTCAATGGGAACGAGCCTATCAAGGCGCTGAGCACTGCGGCCCATGTGCGGACATTTGACGCTTGTGCAGGTCTAGTGAAATAATCAATAAAACAATGATAAATTACTACTCGAGTATTAAGCCTAAAAATATGAGAAATTCTGTATGCAACATTTTTCTGTTCATAAATGACACGGCTTGACTATATCGAAGTCGAAATTAACCATTCTAGCAATCTGTATTTGAAAGATTTCAATCCACAATCTGCATATGAGAGATTTAAATCCACATAAGCAACACATCTACATTCTAGAATTGTGAGTTACAGATCACTGATTTGTTTATAATGTAAAAGCATAGATACGTACTCCTCTCAGAATGTAGCAAAAAGATATCTGAATAAGCAGACTTTATTTGCCAGTATTTATTTTAATACAGTTGAAATGGAAACTCGATCGGTGACAGCAAAAAAATATTATGTTGATTATTTTGTTTATGACGTTAATCTGTCTATCTGTTTGTTTTACATTACAAATTTGTAATGGGTCTCATGTTTGTTTAAAACTACTAGGATGATGATAATTAGATGGTTTGTTATGTTATAGCATTTCTTTTATGTTAAAAAAAGTCAACTGTCAGTGTTTGTTCTTCACACTTAGACAGTAGGGTTTGTTTTACACTTGGTTATGAATCTCTCAAGCTTAATATTACCTTAATTTAAACTTACTAGTTTAGGAGAAAAATCCGCTTGGCATCTCACCTAAAGAAATTGAAAATCTACCTGGGTTTGAATCTCAAGTTTGGTACCTCTGCCTATCACTCTTTAGCATTCTGAACACCATTAAGACATACGGTTTTCATGTTTTCCCCTCTCAACCTCTGATACCCTGAGGTTTTTGTCGGTAATGAAACCTTTTATTGCTTGGAAAAGACGTGAGATTGCTAATCAGCATCAAACCCTTGAATGTTTCACGATTTAAAAAAATCTCTACTTTCGCCCAAAAATTAATAAAAGTTATTATAAAAATTATTAATAAAAATTATTGAATATTTATGCTAGCATTCTAGCAGGCAAACTGCTTTCCTGAGCTGCCAAGTGTCTGATCATGATAAGCTGGTTATATCATCACATGTTCACATGTTCACATCATTTTCACACCGGTTTCAAGAACATTATACATGTACCACGGCGGATGTCGAGAACAAAAGGTACAGACATGGTGGCTTCTTGCACACCAGACACAAACGCAAATAACAATACGCCTGGATCTTGTGTTCCCGACGTCAGTCTGTAAAATCAGATCGGTAACATTTTTGATTCTTTGTGCAATCATGTCCTCCCCTAGAGAGCCATTGAAAAAAGGTTGGTTTCAGGTTTGGAATTACGCTTTTAAGGAGTAGTTTGTGAGTCATACTTCACCGTGTCACTTGACAGGTGCTCTGAAAATTCGTATAACCCGAAGCCAATCATTTCATGTTTTCGCCCTACCCTAAAGGGCTCTTAGGAAAATTGAAGCTGCAACTTGTTATGTGTGCTCATATTTCATTCATCATTCGTAGTTCTGTGTGCACAAACACAGTTACAAGTATGTATATCGCTAAATTCCTCAGTGCGCCTTCCTCCACTATTCTTTAGCATCATAATATAGATATTCATTTTCTCAGTAGTTGTATAGCCGTTTAGGTAATAAGTTTTTAAATTGCAGGTATAGAGGTGGGTACTCTGAAAGTCGAAGTCTTGTCAACAGGCACCTGCTGTGCATTGAATTGCACCATCCTGCAAAACACAATTCACATAGAACTATTCATTTCAATACGTGACAATGAGATATAAAATTCATCAATTTTCATCTGATTTCTTTCTTAGGAATATAGCATCCGTCAATACGATGTATCGAAATGGGTCGGCACTTCCGAATACTCCATGGACTGGTCTAACTCGACAACAACGATGTTCTGGAGGCTGTTCAGATATATCTCAGGACAAAACCAACCAAGTGCGTGCACTTTTATTTGAACAGCATTCATAATGAGAGAACGAAATACCGCAGATCTGTTTAATTGGTTATAGATAAGATTTCTTTTGAATTAATTTTTTTAACAACAAACCAAACGGCACAACTATGCGTATGACCTTGTCGCAGTAAGTAATTTCTCGAGTCATTACGTTTGTTGCGTTCCGATTTATACAAACGCAAACTTCGCAGAAAAAATGCCAATGATTTCTAAAGCTCTGAAGCTATGGCGTGGGTGAAAGTTTCCGAGATTTGCTTTTCAACTCGCCTTTTACATATTATATTGTCATCGTAATATAAAAATTTCGCTTATTGATTGTACGGAGGTTGATTATCCCCATTGATTTTTTTTTCGTTTTAGAGACCAAAGTAGCCATGACTGCCCCTGTTTTAACTAAGATCGTCCCAGGCCAGGGTCCAGCCTGCGAGAGCAACTTTACCATGCACTTTTTTATCCCTGCTACAGAGACCAACCCTCCTCAACCCACTGATCCCAAAGTGTCTCTCAGCACCTTGAAATCTATGAAAGTATACGTCAGGTAAGGATCTCTATTATTATATTATCGATAATGAATGGTGCCAGGGTAAAATAACCAGTACAGCCGAATGGATTTTGAGTGATGGCAAGGAATGGGGAATTTGCTTTAAGAAATACCACCTAATTCAAATTCAGAGTTTACTTGTGATTTCATCCCTACATGATGAACATGCATCAAAGACGGGTGGTTTCTACATAAACACGCCTTTTATACAAAAAGTTAGAGCTACATTTCCAAATTTATTCCAGAGCTTTTGGTGGATTCCCAAAAGAAGAAATCTGGACGAGTGAAGCACAAAAGTTGGCCCAAGCGATTAATGACAACAGTTTGTTCTACAGCGACTTTTGGTTTACAGCCGGTTATGATGGTCCATCAAAAATTATCAACAGACACAACGAAGTTTGGTTTGTTGCTAAGAATGATTCGTGACATTGAGAAGCTGGGATGGCAATTTTCTTTAGCTCGAGCATATTCTTTTGTCAGTTTTCATTCATTTTTCATTCATTTCTTGGTTCATTGAACATTTAAGGGTCGCATTATCACCAAGAATATGGTGATTATTCTGAAAGTGTTAATGACAGACGCATTACACTGTACAGATTTGTTAACTATGGTGTAATATTTATACATATTTTATACGACAAATAAATTGTATCTACTCACTCACTTTGTGTTAATGCATACATGGGTTGATCATTGTAGATTTTACGGCTTAAATGTTACTTCGATTGACTCCCACAAATTTCCCTAATATGTGATTTAATTAAAATGACTGGTAGACGTCATTACTATATACTTAGCATTTTACGAACGCGACGTTATCTCAGTGCACAGCAACACGTCCAAAAGATATTCATATGCGTGCATGTCACTCAAACTTGTGGCACAGGAATATAACATGCGATTGGATCAAAGAAAAACGGAGAAAAGAATAACTAGTCACACCCTCCTAGTTGACATTAGTTGAAATCTGAAAGCACGAATTAGAAATTTCCAGAATCACCTGCATGGGCCTTCATGATGCTCAAAGCTAACTCCAGCATAGCAACTGTATCAGTCGACTGGCCAAATACGAGTACTGACGTCGGGCAGAATTACACAGAATCCAACATGGTGTTCCCGTCCGATAATGTACTTCGTTTACTGGATTTCGTCACGGTGATGCTATTGATAATCATCATCCTTTCCGCTGGGGGACACATTGTTGTCATCATCTGCATCTACAAAGACAAAACACTGAGAACTATATTCAACTGTTACGTGGTGGCCTTGTCGCTGGCAGACTGTCTCATCTCGCTTATTGCGGCTCCTATCCACCTTGGCCAAATGATGGCTAAGGGTCCGACGCACGAGGCATGGTGCAAGATAAAAACCACAGCGGCAACTTTCTCCATTATGTATTCGCTGTCCTCGATGGCTGTAATAGCTGCAATTAGGCTCCACAGCGTCGTCAGGCCTTTCAAGCGCTATAAAAGGTGGGTTGTTCATCTGGCCATCTTTATTCAAACTATCCTGAGTTCCATTGCAAACGGCCTTACCTTTGGTACCCCTTCCCTGATGTTCCCGTGTCAAATGACATACCTTGCGAAAAAGTAAAGAAACTGTTCAGATGTTTTATCACTTATTCGGGCTAGAGTTTAGGAAAATATCAGTGCGGAATACTTGGCTTTTGGTCCCGATCGCAGCTGTCGTCAGTTTTGTGGTCAGCATTGCATTCTACACAGTGATATTTTGCTCTCTGCGCTCCCGTAGATCTATAGGAACAGCGCCAACTGACACGAACAACAGTGAGACAAACCAAGGCGTTGCTGAGGCGGTCCCAACCACGACAACTGGCGTAACGGCATCTGTCACATTACAAAAAGCAGACATTTTGACTTTAAAAACAGCACTGATTTTGACAATGATGTTCTTTGTAAGTTACATTCCATCGTTCGTTGTCGGTTTTATATTTCTTGGCTCTAGTTTTGGAGCAGGGTATCTTTATCCGCTTGTAACATCGCTGATGTATTTACATTGCATACTGAATCCAATAATCTATATGTGGACTTCTAGTAAGTTTAAAGCCTCCTTCAGAAAACTGATGTCTAGAAATGGAAACCCGCCTGTTGAAGCCGTGTCGTAATTCGTTTCGGTGTGCCATATATGCCAAGCGATAACGTAACATACACACATTCCGTAAGACACACAGCAATATATACAATTACTACGACTTCAAGTAAGGGAGACCGGGGCTAGTTGGACCCCGGCGTAAGTTGACCCCCATCAAGTGTCTTTAATAAAGTTACTTTAAGATGCTAAATCATTTAATTTGGACTCACTGCCGACGCTTTCTTAGCACTATTGGATACTGTCACTTTAAAAAAGATGTGATCAGTTCTTTTACCCCATAGTTACTTTGTCATAAATTGATGGGGGGCTAACTTACCCCGGGGTCCAACTAGCCCCGGTCTCCCCTAATAATTAACATTTACGAACGAATGATTATAATGTAGCAATATACTTGTTGTTGTTGTTTTATTTGTTTTAATATTTGCTCTTGTCGTATTACAAAGTGCATTGATAGTTTAGGTAATTGTACAAAACATGTAAATGAATACCTTGCTCTCAAATAATGAAAAAAATGATATCGTGTTTTGACATCGTGAGAAAATACTCGTAAGTACTAATAAGGATAGTACTCACATCAACTGAAAGTGTATAACATGTATCCGAATGAATGGAATAGAAATGAAGTAAAATTCATTTATTCTTGGAAAGAGACCTTGCTGACCCCAAGCGCATTTCTATTTTATCCTAAAATATCAAGCGTTAATTTTCCAGGGTACTTAATTAATTTCTCTTTTTATGTTTTATCAGTGGCTGGCCGGTTTTCTTGTGCGAAGAGAGAAACTCGTGGCGTCATTATTGGCTAAACTAGTAAATAGGAAAATTAAAAAAAAACAAAAAAACATGCTCCTTAACCTGAACCTTTATGCATATATTGAAACGGACATGCATCAGAACTGAGCGGTAATCAAAGAGTTTACTGGGCTTAAAACTGCTTATATCCACAATCAATCGTTTAATAAAGTAGCAGCTGATTGTCTCTATGTTCAGTTGTCATATCACTTTTTTTCTTACATCAATGTTTATACTGTCTATATCACTACTTCAAATGATGTTGTCACAAAAATGTGTTGATGGGTATGTTTCGCCAGCACAAAAGGTTTCATTTTTAAATACGGACGAAGTATATCGATTACGGTTTAGCGATCAGAGCTCAATTAATATTGAATTAATTTCGGCTCACGCGCCCAGTTAATAAGTGACACTCCTGTCAACTTAGTCTCCACAAGGGCCAGTAAGAATCCTTAAAGTCGATACTGCCACACCAGACAGATGAGCCACGGCGTTAACAGTGCCCTCAAGCACCACCTTAAATTAAAAAATAAAAACACACACACACACAAATAACAATGTATATATCAATTTTAACATACTGCAAAGAAACCGCGTTTTACCATTTTATCTATTTCTTTACCTACTATTTAAAGTCCTCTTTATTATCGAATTGTATATTTGCATATTAATACAGTTTGAAATATCTGGTAAATATGAATGTACCCAATATAAAGTCTCATCGCCGACAGTTGCATTAACTTGGTGCCATCGGTTAACCTCAGTATCATTCCCGACGGACCACAGAGAAGTGGCCAGTGCTTGACCAACAGGTTTAATTGTCAGATTTAGTGTACTCATAACAGACCCAAATATGTGATACAGAAATGATACGCAGCGTGTACCTGAAAAAAAAACCTTTACAGTATTTTACAGACAAGGAAGAAAATCAAAATCTAAAATAGAGAGAGAGAAAGTCTATGTTTTCGAGGTAACATCACCTAAACCAACCTGGAGGCCAGATACTCTGCAGTGTAGCAGAAGCCTTCTTTTAAACCCCCAGAATAAAATTCACTGAATTCTCCACTACTTTCTTTATAAGTTGCAAGGTGATATTCAATCTGTCAGATGTATCGACCTCCATTAAACAATGTGCTTTTTGTTTTGCAAGAATAACTTATTTAACATAAAAAGTTTGCCTTCAAAAGACACCTGCCAGCAGGAAGTGAGAAACGGAACACACCCTGGATTGGTCATTCTCGCACCGTCCAAAATAGACGAGGTTTGCAGGTGTATTTTATTGAAATAAATGTATTTGGATGTAGTATTCTAACATTCATGTCTGTGAAGAAACAGCAATGGCAAAATATAGGTTATTTATCTTTATTCACGTGTTTATTTTTTACCTACCCAGTCTTCCTATCTTTCTTTTTTCATAACTTCATAACTAACTAATATCCAGTATATCTGTGCACTTTCTGTCTTATACGGGGACAATTTGACTGTAGACAGGCCGTGCTGAAAATATTCAATCAAAAAACTGTAATCAATAAATGTTATATAGAAAGGAGAGAAAAGAACATATGTATAGGCATAATCTTTCACAGAGACACCTCGATCCAACTCAACACACAGTAGGATTAACACCTCTCCAGCTCTGTATAAAGTAACTTGACTGTTTGATTAAGAACTACAAGTATACAATGGACACTATGTTGCAAAATATACAGATATTCCTAGACTCATGCCTAGATTAAAAAATACCCCTTTAAAGAATTGGGGTGAGGAGGGGGGGGGATAATATGTCCTTCTCAACAATAGAACATTAAAGCGACTGGTAATATGTGGCATGCGCACTATAAAATGCAAAATGATACGGGTGTTGCATGAAAATCTGACTCCCGGAGTCAATATTTCATAATGAAATTGACTTCTAACACTAACCCTAACCCTAAAACCTAAACCCAAACCCAAATACTAACCTTAGCCCTAACCTTAAGCCCTAAACCCTAACCCTAAACCTAACCCAAATATCATTTTTAATTTTATTATTTTATTATAAAAAATTCACTGTGTAAATATTTCAACCTGCCAGCAATTAGGAATCTAGACCATTTACTATGTACAATATATCATTACTATTCTAAATATTTCTATGCCGAATGAAACTAAATTTTTAGCGAAATGCCTAATTTTGAAACCCAAGACATGGTTAATTCGTGTTGTTGTTGTGCAGTAAACTGTAATTAGACAAAACTTAAGAGAAAACAACCAGAAAAATATTCGTGCATAGATGCTGTTTACTTTAATTCGTTACCGCAAGCTCACGCTAGACTGCCAGTATTTCCGCTCGATTGCACGCTTAGACAGGAGACTCGGATGACTTCCATTTAACTCCAAACTGTTGGGCTTCCGAGTAATTGTGACATCACAGATACTTTTTAAAGCCTGCTTTCATCTTCAGTAAGTAGTATCAACTCGCTCTTCAAAATGTCACATTCAGGACCAAAGAAGTTCATTTGTCAGCACACACACACCGAAATGAAGGTCGGTTGTTGTCCATGCAGGTGCCATGGTTCAAACAAAGGGCAAACTAGATTGAATTTTAAAAGATATGAGAGAGAGAGAGAGAGAGAGTTGTCTGTTATACTATTATATAAGACAGACGTGATCTTCATATTACACAAACTGAGAGATAAACCAAATGAGAAATAAAGACCACTACCGGCACCGATATTTATAACCCCTTTCAAGAAACAATGCTGTACACAAGTAATAACATAACGCAAGATCAACATCATATTTGGTTGGACCACGTGGCTCTTTTTAAGTTTAAAAGATACCTCGTCTTCCTCTATAGAATAACCCCTGTGAACTACATATAAGGGTAAAAAAACAAATGTTTTATATTTGCTGTGCCTTATTCAGTGTTCAGTTATTCTTAAATTCCCCCCTAACCATAATCCCGTCAGTTGCTAAATAGGCCTTATTTTAAATAATTATACTACGGTAAACGAATTTTTGTGGTTTTCATACTAATCAAAACTACCTCACGCGGCACCATTCTGCTGACATTTAGATGGCTCCCTTTCGTAACATTATCCCAATTATTGAACAAAGCAAAAGTGTATCGTTTAAGTTTCTCTTTGGATTAAAAATCAAGGTATCCTTTTCAGTTTGCACATTCCACGAAGCGTAATAAAAGATTTAATACATCGTGCACATCTGACAGTATCCGGGCTAGTTCACCGACGAAAATAAAACATCTTGTTTAAAAATCGACATTTCTGTTTGGCAAAACCATACACTCAAACGAAGTCACGACAAAGGGTTCGTAAAGGATTTTCCTTGGATACGCATAAAGAAAACAACCCATGTGGTGTGTAATGACAGCCTTTAATGTATATAATAACAGGTATTTTGATGAAGTGATCGAGTGGCTGCAGCTAAAACGTGTCTGGTGTTACGATCGCCGATGCAATGGCAGCAAATCCCGTAGTGGCATAACCAACATGTTCAGTGCTATCGAACTTCACCACCATCATGTTGTTGTGTTGATCTTTGGACACTATAATTCCGCCATTCCATCTACCGCAGTACCTATTACAGCAAAGAACACATTAGAATTCTGTTGGATCCAATTACCCAACAAGAACGAGTTTGACTGCATACAACCCCTATTATATGGCATTTATTCTACTAGAATAATGCAAAATTTTTTCCGTTCGTGGAAAAAATCATTTCTGACAAAATGTATTCTTCAAATGTCCTAATATGGCATTTCCTATGGTGAAAATACAAGTGGGGTTTAAAGACCTTCTTCACAGAAATGCAAACAAACTCGAAAAATCTTTAAATATATTTTTGAAGTGAGTTTGCTGCAGAAAATGTTTGGAATGTCCGTTCGACTAGCTTCATGCATTCCAGACACTGCTTACCTGGGGCCAGGCTGACCAACCAGATTGGATCTCACTTCCAGCCAATGGATACACTTGTTAGAATCAGCTTTTATGTCAAAATATATGAAGCTGAGTTTTATCACCGAGCCTGTTGGACCCTGCAATAAAACATCACGAAAAGATGAAAACTCTTGCAGATGTACGCACTCATTATATTATTATCGCCTTGACACATTGCATTGTAAGTCTTCTCTGTATATCAAACAAATGCAACTTTGTAGACAACAATGTCTGTACATTTAACTCATAAAAATGTTGTCCTTTGTTGACTAAAACCACTGGCCATAACACAGATTTCTGGCTTGCTCAAATCTTTAGCTTTGATGCGTTCTAATAATACATGTACCTTCAAGAGCCACAAACATTTCTGTCTGCGTGGGTAATTGAAGGGAAATCTTGGCGAGTGGATGAATGCCCTGTCAAACCAAGACAGACTTAGGGAGATTACTCCTCCACAGAAGCCGTGGGGTCCTTATAAATAAAATTTGGAAAATATTCAACAACGGACACGCCAGATAACAGGTAATTTTAAAATTAAAAACTTTGATTGAGTAGTCATTTTTGTTATGTTTTAATATTTTAATACGTCGTGTTTTAGTGCATAATTAGCAACAGTGGCATTTATTTTCATTATAACGTTATCCTCATAGGACATTTTGCTTCTGCTTTTGACTTCTCATGCAGATTGACATATATTCCCCACCTGCTGTTGCCAGAGGCCCTTCCAGCTCTTAAAATTGGCCGTCCTTCAACAAATTTTGTAACAGCTAGAAGGGGCCTTTGATAGTGAGTATTCTCAACCCATTTCAAATATACTACAGAAATTTTATTCCATTGGCTTTATATTGCCCTTTATGAAAGTTTAACAAAAGACACGACAGATATTACCAGACATGGCCCTTGGATCAATGCGGTTGCACGTGTTTCCGGCCAAACCGTCTGGGCATTTACAGAAGCAATCAGTGTTGCCTTTCAGAGAATGCAGGAAACCGCCATTTTCACACGATAAACGATATGGGCACTGAACTGAGACAGAGAAAAGAAGGAAGCAAAACTAGCGTGTAAATAACCGTTAAAGGGATAATAACTCTTCATATGAGATCTATATTTCACAATAAAAACATTGTGAATAACTCATAGAAATATAATATATTCTGTTTAACCACAAAAACGGCAGTTATAGCTATTATTCTGATATCTGAGCTTGTCTTTAGACCACGTGACCTCCATTGATGGCTATACTCTGTTAAAATCTCTTAAGAGATTTTAACAAAAAACCAAACTTTTTAGAAAAATCCAGGGACTAACTTTGAATGTAAAAATGGATTCATTAACCATTGGTAAGTATGAGAAAATTGTTGTTCACTCCAGGAAAATTCATTTTTTGGCCAAAATGAAGAGTTATTATCACTTTAAATATAGATAATTAAATATATTTAATATTAAACGCAATCAAAAATAGGTTTCGTGACATCGATCGTTTATCTATAACCTAATGTAGTTGGTGTATTTTACATGCAAATAATTACGACTTGCATTATTAGAATTTATATACATTCTGATAGTTTGATGATCATGTCCAACAGCAGCACTGTACCTATGTCAATTACCTGTGCATCGGTACGCTTTGCTCAAGGATTTTATGTCATAATAGCTTAATCCACGGCGATTCCCAGCCAAAAACGATAATGCTTGATCTCTGACTTCAATTGTTGGTTCAGAGTTTCGACTGAAATCCTTTGAAATTAGACAGCTTAATTGATTAATTCACATCTAAATAGAAGTAATCCTTTTGAATTTCAATACCTTTTTAAATAATTAAAAGATATTTAAAAAATTCAACAGCTGGAACTATATTTGGTCAATGGTGATCATAATAACGGTCATGTACATGTTTTGGGCTATTTAAATAAGGACCAGCACACGGGTGTCAATATTTTTTTCATCATAATATAAATGAAAATACTTATACAACTGCCATAGTGCATGATAAACGCATCATTTGGTAATCTAAATACTTACGTAAGTTCCATAATGCATGATAGAACCAACATCATACTCAGCTAACGTCTCAACCCCCTCCATCATCATGAAATTGAGCATTGCGTTCTCCCTAACGTTTTTGAAATTGACTTTAATGTACTTATTTCGGTCTTTCCGTGAGTGCTCATGGTGAAGACCTACGATATGACCCAGTTCGTGTATCACAGAGCCCACCTGAAATTTATTCAATGTTGCAATATGTTTCTTAGAATAAGGGACGGCTTGTCCACAAAAAAAAAAAATAAATAAATAAATAAAATAAAATAAATAAATAAATAAATAAATAAATAAATAAATAAATAAAAAACTTACCCTCACCAATATAGACTGTATTATCTTATTATTCCCCCCAAGTGCACCTGTGCAGTTATTACCTTTGCCTACAGTCGTGTAAAATGATGCCAATTCTATTATCTTTTTATCAGCACCTCACTTTGTAAAAGAGTGGATATCAATATCAGTTTGTTAATGTTGAAAATGTTAAAATACAGATGATGACACTTACAGTAGAAAAGAAGTTTCATTTTGGGCGATTCTTACTCACAATAAGATTCCATGCACACTAAAATCGGCCGATTCGAAACATGAGTAGGCTCGGCACCTGGGCTTTATTACATGGACACATTTGGGACGAAGAAAGTTGCACATTTTATTTTTTAAAAGTGCACTATGTATGAAAGAAAAAATGTCAAAATATCAGGGTTATCAATCAACTTAACGTACTTCGTAATGCCTGATCACAGTGGATGAGGGGGGGTACACAAAGGGAGTAGTGACAGAACTGCGTGGGTGCATTGATATACTTGTATCACCTTTTTTCTCCCAAATCGATTTTCTTTTAATGAAAATACGCATCAATTGGAGCATAGAAGTACAAGCTGTACATACTTCCATAAGCGGAATGACTCACATTTTCTTCTCTTTTTCCTATAACTACAAAATAAAAATAAATAAAAAAAACTTTTGATAAGACATTAAACTTACGTCTTCACACCCAGGACCAGATAAACTCACTACCTGAGGTTGTTTAGATTCTCTCATTCGTCCAATGTTAGCATAGCAACTGAAAAAAAATGTCCAAATTGAATTAAATCTGTCACTTGTTATCATCGGTTCAAGCATCCGAGGTGGATATCGGTGTAAACGTACGACAGTAGTGAATGTGTGGGTCAAGTCGAGGCTTACTATGCATATTTCTTCTTTTCGATGCATTCACCAATGAACATGTAGTTTTTTTATCCTTCGTTTAATTAAACCTTCGTTCGATTCCCCTAATGACTGAAAGGATATCAAGTATTCGAAAACAAATGGCAGGGATACACGCTGATCCTCCAGATACCAGGATGTCTTTACTCTTTTACAGTCTGTGTAAAATACAAAGGGGAGAGTCACCGCAAATGCTCGGAAACTCACGATAGGTTTATTTGCAGTGGAAAAATAGAGTGATTGCCAAATATTAAGTAGCTTTATTTTTAACTTTTTATTTACCCTCCAGCTGAATCTTTTCCAATTCTCAAGTAAAATTTCAAGTCTGGTAGAGCATCATCGAAGCGAAGGAATCGGAGACATGTATTGTCTTCCAGGTGTTGTATTGCTTTTAATACATTTTCTTTAACTTTATTGCCTGAAACATACGTCAACCATAGGATTAAAGGATATGTATTTGTCCAAATCATTTCTGAAATAGATGTAACCCAGCAGGCGTGAAATGTTATTTGGGAGTGATTAGCCGCCGAGTAACAGCCAAGAAGGAAAAGACCAATCTGCATACTGAGATTTTGATTATTTTTCCTAATCCTCGGCAACTTCATGTGGCTTTCTTTCATCTAATGGCAACCAAGTACTAAAGTTTCGTCGCATCATTATAAGGGCGCATTCCCATAGATTTCAGATCGATCTATCCCCGTGAGGAGTCTCACTAGATTACTGTCAGATAATCCGGCTTAAATGTCCGTCCCGCCTACTACAAGCTGTAAGGGGAAGATTAACTTTCGTGCCCGCTCGGCCGACAGCTATTTAGCGTGAACCCCCAGGGAGTTAGGTCGATCTAGTTGGATCGATCTAATCTCTGGGAATGGGGTCTAAGTGACATGTTGGTGACTTGTTCTTGAGTACTTTAATATTTTAATATATAAACAAAGTCGCTCTAAAAGCGCACGATTTTTTTTTTGTCAATTTCTACACTTTAACAAGAAAGGAAAAATTAAGAAATATATTTATGCGCAGAACTAGTGTTTCTACAGCAGGTGAAAATCATTTTTTCAGGGTGATAAACAGGCCAATACATGCCATTTAATGAAAAATCAAATTGCTCAAGCATTGTTATAGGGCGGTAGGCCCATATTTTACGAACGATGCGAAAAAATGAATATTTTTACTCAATTGCTTATCTGCTGTTGATTTACAATCTTAGGTAATTGATGACAAAATTAATAAGATTATGATCTTTGCTTTTTTTCATGCTTACCCTCTTGACAACAAAGAGAAAGAAAAAGATAGAAGCAAACGGAGAAAAAAACAAAAGCAGGGAGCAAAGGAGTAAATGAAAAAAAAAGAAAAATTTAAGGATGAAGATCATTAGAGCATTATAGTTACTTAAAGATGTTATACTCCCTTCCGAAGAGTTAACAAACACCCATGGTATAGTAGCATTAGGCCACTTGTCTCCAAGTCCTGCGAGTCTTCTCCTTTGTCTACTTTTTACTTCCACCTTAGCCAAAAAAAACAAAGTTCTGCTTAAGTATTCACTGTACACGTAGTATTAACAACAAATGAAACAAAAGTAAGACTTTTGATGGATTTATCACCCAGTCAAACATATAGCCGAAGAAAAAAACATAAACCTAACATACATGTAGGCGGTTCTGTTCACGATTACCCACAGCACGGCGGTACATTTGCATAACGTTTCCATGTCGGGATAGAAGAAAAAGAGATGGAATGTATATCTCGACTCACCAGTTGTCCAGTAGCACTAATTTTGAGGTTTACTCCTTCTTTTCCGAGATTAGCAATACCATTTCGTATATAACATTGCAACACAGTACACCAGATGATACAAACATATAAAGTTGAGGTAAAGACACGATACATGCTGATGTCTTTTATAGAGCGTGTGAAGCGATTCTCAGCATATTTTGTATGCATATAATGAGCTGAAATAAAATGTCAGCAATTTCTGTCGGCAGTATCACCCCACGAAAATTATAGTACTTGGCTGACCTTTTGTTTTTCGTCTTGATAACACCGAAAGCGACGAGAGATGAGCATCATCCACGAAGAAAAATATTTTAAAGGCATTTGATCAGTTGCCAAACAAACGAAAACGAGCCTCCTAACAACCTCATTATACCCGTTACTTGCATTAATTATGCACCGAGCGCATATGGCATTATACAGGGTGACTCCCAAAAAGCAGAAATCATTAATTTTTATTATATCCTACGGACTGAAACTTCAATATATGCATGATCATTCCCCAAAGTTTAAGTTATCTTGGTCGCTTTGCATAAAAGCGCCAAGGCATAATGGAAGGTATTTCAAAAGCTTATCATTTAAAGTAGGTAACTTAGAAACTTGTAACAGGTATCATTTCTAATGAGCAAAGTATGACCTTTAATTTGAAAAGAGTTTGGAGGTCAGAAGAGGCCAGAGTCATTCATATGTATCAAGGTGAATCTCGAAAAAGGACCAAAACAACTTAAAATGCAATATCAGATTTCCATATTTTCAAAGAAATGTAACTTTTATGACTTATCTAGCTTATTTTGAGAGCTGTTCATATTTAAATGTCCAAAGGTAAAATGATATATAAATGACTCACATTGTCATGTTCGTGCTTGCTGAAGACTGATGGTAACTGTTGCTGATGAAGACAGCCATTTAGCCTATTTCCGAGTGACTGTTCACTTCACGTATGGTGTCAAACAAACCTGGTTCTAAAGGAAATCATGAGTAAACAAATGGTTCTACATGAAATAGCCTTATATGGCCGTTACTCTCTGTTCCAATATGGCCATGCCCCACCTTATCATGCCAGGCCATCACAACCATTTTTCTGGAGTACGCAGTGTAGCACTGGACTGGTCTGTTTATTCTCGATCCTTAGTTGCATCCCATTTGGCACTGTTGGGATGCTCTATACTGAGCTGTTAGAAGTCAAGAAGTCCAGGAAACTACTGATTTAGGACCTTTTGGAGGGACCGGTTGATCGTAACCAAAGATACATTAACAAACAGACCGTCTGGGTATTTACAGAAACAATCAGTGTTGCCTTTCAAAGATTGCAGGAAGTCCCCATTTTTTTCATACGATAAACGATGTGGGCACTGTCCTGAGACAGACAAAAGAAGGAAGCAAAACTAGCGTTTAAATAACCGGTAAATATAAATAATTAAATATATCTGATATTAAACGCAATCAAAAATAGGTTTCTTGACATCGATCGTTTTTGCAGAACTAGTGTTTCTAGAGCAGGTAAAAAAATTTTTTTTTTAGAGTGAAAAACAGGCCAATAATTACGACGTGCATTATTTGAATTAATATACATTCTAAGAGTTTGATGATTATGTCCAACAAAGCACGGTACCTATGTCAATTACCTACGTCAATTACCTATGTCAATCGGTACGCTTTGCTCAAGGATTTTATGTCATAATAGCTTGATCCATGCCGATTCCAGGCCAAAAACGCTTGATTTCTGACTTCCATTGTTGGTTTAGAGTTTCGACTGAAACATCCTTTGAAATTAGAAAGCGTAGGTGATTAAATCACATCTAAATAGAAATAATCCTTTTTTGATTATAAAAAATCCAACAGCTGTTACAATATTTGGTCAATTGTTATCATTATAACGGTCATGTAGATGTCTTGGGTTATTTAAATAAAGATCAGCACACCGGTGTCAATATTTTTATCATCATTATATAAATGTAAATACTTCTACGACTTTCTTAGTGCATGATAAACCTGCATTTGGTAATCTAAATACTTACATAAATGCCATTATGCATGATAGAACCAACATCATACTCTAACATCTCAACCCCCTCCATCATCATGAAATTGAGCATTGTTTTCTCCCTAACGTTTTTGAAATTGACTTTAATAAAAAACCTACCCTCACCAAAATATAGTATCTAACAATTCCCCAGAAGTGTAATTACACTTGTGCAATTATTACCTTTGCCAACAGTCGTGTAAAATGATGCCAATAATTATCTTTTTACCAGCACTTCACTTTATAAAAGAATGGATGTCAATATCAGTTTGTTAATGTTCGGTAGGGGATAGAGACAGAACTGCGTTGTTTCTTTTCATCCCAGTACGAGGTGTATTGATTAACTTGTATAACCCCTTTCTAAATCGTTTTCTTGAAAATACACATCAATAGGGGCATGGAAGTACAAGTTGTACTTTCTTCCATAAGCGGTATGACTCACATTTTCTTCCATTTACCCCTATAACTACAAAATGAAAATAAAGGAAAAGCTTTTGATAAGAGATTAAACTTACATCTTGACACCCAGGACCAGATAAACTCACTACCTGGGGTTGTTTGCTTTAACTTATTGCCTGAAACATACGTCAACCATAGGATTAAAGGATTTGCATTCGTCCAAGTCATTTCAGAAATAAATATAACCCAGCAGGCGTGTAACGTTATTTGGGAGTGATTAGCCGCCGAGTACCAGCCGAGAAGGAAAAGACCAATCTGCATACTGAGATTTTGATTATTTTTCCTAATCCTCGGCAACGATATGTGACTTTCTGTCATATAATGGCAATCAAGTAGTAAAGATCCGTCACATCATTATAAGTGGTATGTTGTTGACTTGTTCTTGATAACTAAGTTCGTATATCCTAATATATAAACAAAGTCGCTCTAAAAGCGCACGATTTTTTGTCAATTTCTATGTTTAAACAAGAAAGGAAAAAATTAAGAAATATAATTATATGCAGACGTAGTGTTTCTACAGCAGGTAAAAATCAATTTTTAGGGTGAAAAACAGGCCAATACATGCCATTTAATGAAAAATCAAATTCCCCAAGCATTGTTTTAGGGCGGTAGACCCATATTTTGTGAACATTGTGAAAAAATGAACATTTTTTACTCAATTGGTTATCTGCTGTTGATTTACAATCTTAAGCAATTGAAACCTTCGACTGCATAAACCAACTGATAAAATTAATAACATTATCATACACCAGTAGTGGTTTCTTTAGACGTATATGGACAGATACAGATACAGATTATGATCTTAACTTTTTTCATGCTTACCCTCTTGACTACACAGAGAAGGAAAAAGCAGAGAGCAAAGGAGTAAATGGAAAAAAAAATGAAAAATTTAAGAATGAAGATCATTAGAGCATTATAGTTACTTAAAGATGTTATACTCCCTTCCGAAGAGTTAACAAACACCCATGGTATAGTAGCATTAGGCCACTTGTCTCCAAGTCCTGCGAGTCTTCTCCTTTGTCTACTTTTTACTTCCACCTTAGCCAAAAAAACAAAGTTCTGCTTAAGTATTCACTGTACACGTAGTATTAACAGCAAATAAAACAAAAGTAGGACTTTTGAACGATTTATCACCCAGTTAAACATATAGCCGAAGGAAAATAACATAAACCATAGATACATGTAGGCAGTTCTGTTCACGATTACCCACTGTTACAGCACGGCGGTACATGTGCATTACGTTTCCATGTTGGGATAGAAGAAAAAGAGATTGAATGTATATCTCGACTCACCAGTTGTCCAGTAGCACTAATTTTG